ATTCATACGACCCTTTTAGGTTTGTTGAATTGGCCAATGTGTTCAGTCATTCGTTCAACCTTGAATATGCCCACTCGCCCCCTCATGGGGACTAAATTTCTTTGCTTCTCACGGGGGTCTTGGTTGATACTTGAGCAAATTTGAAGAAGGTGCAGATAACATCAATTAACATGGTTTACTGGCTTGACGGTTCAATGGCATCTATGGTGATGAGAGTGGGACACGATCAAGCAACGTTCGAGTCCCTGCCAGCAACCTCAAACTCGCTATAAAGTATGTGGGTTCAAGCTGGAGGAAGGTCCGATAGTAGCACATGTGGTAGGGCTGGGTATTGGAAGCAGGCAGGCAGGAACATCAGTGAAGGAGCGTTCCGGATCGTGTCGGCGCTGTGAGTGAAGATGGCCGTGTGGTTGGCGTGCTATTTGGCAAACTTATAGAAGGCGCAGATAACATCAATTAACATGGTTTCTTGGCTTATAGGTTCTCCCTCACCTATTACCGTCGTTGATCCGAATGATTAGCTGCGAGAAGAATAAGACCTAGTAGTTTGATTGCGACAGCTCATGAGCTACCCTTCCGCGCTCCTGATTTCCCAATGCTCCGATTGATGCTGGATCATTGTGTAACTCTTGACGCGGTGAGAAGACTGGTCCAGCGACTGTGTTGGGAGTGGTGTTATCAATTTGAGGTGCTTTTGGCTGATCCGACGCTTCTGGACTCAATTTCTTCGTCGACCACTTTTTCTTCAAGATGATGGTCAAACAGATCAACACCAGAACCGCGGCCGCTCCAATCGTGATGCCGGCAATTTGACCGGGCGGAAGCTGGGAGTCATCGTGGTCACTGGCTGTTGAGGTGGATGAGGCAGTCGGCAGAAATGATATTGTTGACGTCAATTGTGTGGTCGAGCTGGAGGCTGAAGTAGAGGTTGTTGAACTTCCGCTCGTTGTGGGAGTCTCGCATGAGTATGTTTGGACGGTGGCCCCAAAGCTCCACCCTGTTGAAAGCTCGGTGACGCTGATCGGCGTACAACCTACACCTCCATTATCTTCTACAAACCCTCTATAGCCATGAAGACAACACCAGGCCCCAGCGTCGACGATGCCGCCTTTCCCATAGAGATCCCAGCTCGAGTCCGCACACTATGAACAATCAATTCAGCAACTTCTCGACGTGATCAATCCTTTTCTTCGGTGGAATCTCACACACCTTTGGCTCGTTCAGTGTATCCTGACTGCAGTCATAGTCGCCCTGACAGCACCAGCCGCCATGGGGGTTCGAACCAGCGCACGTCATGCCCGCATGGCAGCACCGCGGTTGTGCCCCATCTTCACAGTGGTTGGGCACCGAGTCAGGGCAGTCTTGAGTATCTACCCGAAGTGCGTAACCTCCAATGAAATTACAAACATTGGCAGTTGACGCATGAGAGAATAGTAGTGACCAAGTGAAGAAGATCCACAAAGGCGACATACTGCCAGGTAGAGACACCGAATCTTTTTTCGAGAGGCTGAAAGCCATCTGTCGATACCTTTGGCTACGATACCAGAGACCTTGGAAATGATGGGGAAAAAAAAAAAAAGTCGAAAGACGAGAAGGTTGGAACGACGACAGGTAACAATCAGCTCCTGAGAGGGGTAGCAATGGCCGGGTCATGAGTTGTAGAGCCTGATGTGGATTCCACGAAGCAGGCTGCAAGAGCAGAAATAATAATGATGTGGTGTAACTCACGTTTTCGTTGAGCAACACAAACGTCACTGTGATTTGATGAAATAGTAGCATTGAGGTTCTTGGCACCCACAAAGGGCAATTTAAAGCTAGACGATCATGCGACGTTAGGAGTGCAAAAGGCTTGGCAAGGCAGACGAGGCTGTAGAAACAGATACTCGATGTTACTGCTCTGTCGGAAGGGTCAAGATAGCCAGTGCCCCTCCATTCAGCTCACAACAGTCTCTTCTGAGCACTTGTTACTTTGTGATACGTATCTGTCCTGTCTGGGGTCGAGCTGGACCGGTGGCGTGGCCCTCAGACCTTTGACCATTCAAGGGCTCTAAGCCACATCGCGTGTGTACCAAACAAGCGTGGGATATCCATTGGGATTCAAATCAATCGTTGGTATTCTTTCTGGGTCAATTGTACGCGGAGGTTATTTGCAGGTCATCCAAATTGTACGGGGGAAGAGATTTCGAGTTTTCAATGCTCAGCATGAACCTGTTCGGACAGTCTGTTCTCCCGAACTCGTTTAAACATTCCCCAGCAGCCATTTCTTAGATTCCCGACCTGCTGCATTCAATTCCATTGCCTCATTCCATTCCTTACGCGAAAGTCTTGAAGAATCCCAAAACTCCAGTACCTCCGGCTCTGCTTCTTAGTTCCGCTTCCGCTCGATCAATAGTTTCTTGATCCTCTCTTGCCAATTTATCCATCGTGACTCCATTGACTCCCTTCATGTCTTGTGCTCTACATCGTTGTGCTTCTTGCACGGCATCCGAAACGGCCCGGTTGATCTCGCCAGCGGTCTCAAGCAGACCGGTTACCCTGTCCCGAGCCGGCTCAAGCTAAGATTTCATGGCCTGGTGGCGCTCGAATACGATGCGCTCAGCAGGAATGCCTCCAGGGCTGCCCCAAGAGCCGGAGGATATCGAGAGGAAGCTGGCCACAGGAAAGATTCGTCGAGGAATATCAATGGCAGGGTATACGCCTGAATGGGGAGCTTCCACTCCAGTTTAGTTATGAATTTGACTTGTACGCTACCTCAATTGGTTTTTCCAATATGCTTCACACTAAAAATCGCTTACCAAGAACGCGCTTTCTGAATGCGTTTTTCGATGCTCTTGAAAAAATGCATCCCAGATGATTTGATCAGAACATGCGGAATCTTGTAGTGGGTGCCTGAATATATGTCAGTTAGGATGAGGTAAGGCAAGTGGATCTGAAATTATATTCTCGGCGCACATGTGATATGTTTCCGTCCCTGCCTCCGTTTTGGCCCTGTAAATGTAAAGGGAAGGCAGGAGCGAGGGTAGATAGCCTACATACTTCGAAAAGTGCATTCAGTTGGCGACCTCGCTCTTTCCAACCCACCTTACTCACAACATACTAAAAAATAATTACTATTTGCTTTTGGGCAAAGTCCAAGGTTTCCCTTATCCTAATTCCGGTCCCGTACAGCAAGTACTACCTTCAACTCCATCCTCCTCTGTACCAGACTCCAGCTCTTCCATCCCTGCCGCCGACATCGCTCTCTCTGCCACTGTCGCTGCCGCCATCCTGCCAACAATGGGAAGACCTTGCGCCGTTCCTACTTGGGAGTCTGAGCCTCTCGACGAGAACTTCCTCGCGCGCTTGCCTCCTCCTCCTCCGCGTCCTCCTCCATCGCCGCATCTTTCTGCAGCGCCTGCTGCGTTTGTTGTTACCGCGATCCCACGTAAGTACGCCACGTTCATATCTCTTGGTTGTTGAACAGTGCCATGAAACAATTTGGCTAGCCTGTTCATGCTTTCTGGCATTTCTGGGACTGCGTTGTCAAAGACCTCCCTGCTACTTGGACATGGGCTTTTTTTTTTTTTATTACGGTCTGTCGGCATTTCTGATGGACGTGTGCACCTGAAATCGCTGTTATGCACAAAGAATCACCTCCTAATCCATTTTCAAATTGCTGCTTCGAAATCTTGTGCACTATCATACTGAAGAAATGCCCGTTTATATAGACGTATCGCAAGAAGAGGCCGACGAGCGCGCCAAGGTGATCTGGGACGCTGTTCGCCGGTGGCGAGACATGGTCCCGCGCCCGAGTTTGGCCGAGCTTGGCCGCATGAAATTGGTAAGTCTATTATACAACTTATTACTCATGCTGTGGACACACCTCTAAGTACATATATACGTATTTTAGGAAGCAGTGAAGCAGCTTCCGCCCCTTCGGGACACGACGTTCTACCTGCCGACCCCGGCACCCCGGTCCCCGGACCCTCCCTCGCCTCCGCCTCGCGTCCAGCGGGCAAAGCGCACATACGACGATGCATTCTCCGCCTCCGAGGATGAAGACGGCGGTGCAGACAACTAAGACAACAACGGGTAATTCTTTCTCTTCCAACGTCTGGAAATGCGTTTGGACTTTCGTGGTTGTGTTGGTGGCATGATGGGCTGAGTTTTCTACATTCTTCATGGGGCAACGTCACTATGGGGGATTTATGCGTGAAATCACTAATAAAAACGCTGCAACTCTTCGTACTACGACATATTAATTGTGCATCCCTAGACATGGCCTTGTGATGTGACACTGTTTCTACCCAGACAGAGGAACTAAGACTGCCCAGAACGATCATTGCCGCGGATCCCACTTGCGAATATGGAGTATGATGATCTCTGCGGACAATGCAGTCCGCCATTATTAAGGTCGCTAGGTGCGACTCATACTCATTCTCTCCTCTGAAATCGCATATGAAGTTAGCGTTCGTGGTGTGATGCTAGTTCTATAAGTCCAAAGCCTCCACGTGCAGCGCCACCCTGAGAGTTGGAAAATAGTGAGCGTGGGAGGATATCTCAGGGGCTGCCACAATCATACAATTAGGTTTACTTTGCTTCACAACATTATACTTGGAAATGCAGCAGTAGTCCTACTTGGCAAAGCGAAGGGTGTATCAGGGAACAGGCATATGATCTGCGAGTAGTATATTTGCTACTTTCTTAAAAGAATTGTCACATGTTAAATACTTGAACGTATCCTCCATATTTTGTAAGGCTAATCCGTTCCTCGATATTCCTAGCCCAGTGAGTGGCCTTCGCCCACATTGACTTGCATGAATGGTGGATGATCCCCCCAAATATGGTATGTGTACATCACTTCTTGACTTACCACAAGTTGATCTAGGCCGCGCTGAGAGCACAATGTCCACTACAGATACTTTGAGAGCTCGATTACGTTCTTCTAAGTCACATTCATGCGCGTAATGTGTACTCCTGGGAATATACAAGTTCCAAAAATGGGAAAAAAACAAAAGTTTTGGAGGAGCGGGGAATTGAACCCCGGGCCTTTCCCAGGCATGAATGAAACAATGCGAAGGGAATGTCATACCCCTAGACCACACCCCCTAGCGTTATTTTAAACGCGTTTAAACAAGCTCAGGAACGTTTTTCTTGATTGTGGCTTGCGTTCTGTGCAGTTTGGGAAGGTTTGGAAGGTTGGGGGCTGATGTGGTGGCTTGGCCGGCGTCTTTCTCGGCATCTCGGAGCTAGCCGGAAGTAGAGTGGGGCCCAGTAAGTTGTGCCCAGGTCTGACAGGATGGGATGGAAGAAGTTGGCTGACTGTGGAAGAGAGATTGGGTATGTGATGCGAGCATTATGATCCGTTTTGCCATGGTATACTGTGTAGGCCAGTTCAACGGGGAGGATGAATGGCACAGCAGTCTTTCTCTGCAGAAGCCCGTTAGCTGAAACACATCTGGTTGGCCTGTTCTTGAACATCCAGTGGAAAGAAAGTTTGTTCGTGGGAATCGCGTTGAGGCCTGTGCCGATATGGCTTGATTCCCGTCCAAGAACTGAGCATAGAAGGGGCTGAAATGATATATATGCCATCATCAATCGAATTGTCATGTTACAATTGTGCTGGCAATGTTTCTTTATGATCATGGTTCTGGTGGCATGTCATGGACTATACGTTTGTTGTTGGGAGCCACTATAGTGCACTATAGTGACGCGACTAGTTGGTGTGGGGAGGAAGGAGCGACCAAGGACGTGACTGCCTATAATCCACAGCGACTGTCCAATGACGCCCAACTATGGTAGAATACAATAATGTCATAACGCAGTAGCAAAAGGTTGATAAATTTGGTTTCTTTATTCAATCATCAGATAGTTGCGGCTGGTTGATCGCATACAGTCCTGTGCGCAGCAAGCATAGACACTTTACCACTCAGAGCAGTACCCGCGCGACACTACTGCGATGGTCTAGAATCGCCATAGCTGCAAAGCAAAATGCGTGCTTAGGCCCTGAATGCTCAAGCCTTCTTGACCTTGGCCGGTCCCTTGAGTGATTGCGAAATCTTGAGAGTGAATACCCAAGCCAGCATGCACGCCTCTAGGCCCAAGAGACCGATCCATAGAGTGTCCAGGATATGCACCTCCAAGCCCCAGGGCAGACGACCCTCCAGGTTCCAACGAAGTGGGCCGTACGTGATCTGCATCAGCAGGAATGCGACAAAGGTGTAATAAGTATACCAGTATGGTCTGTAGTCATCCATGTTAGTTACAGGTTTATCCACGGGACCCATAAGAGGGCGAAATATTTCATTTAGATGCAAGTGTCATTTCGTGACCGGAAGTTTATGGTAGGTGCTTCATTTGGAGGCGTAGTCATTTACACGAGCCGCAAGCAGTAAATGCTGCATGTCTCATGGGCGTAAGATTGCCAGAGAAATAAACTTGACATTCAAGTATAAACTTGGATAAATAATGACATACCCTCCCGAGAAAGTCAATCATGTTGAAAAAAAAGAATAACTCACTTAGTCTTTTCTGTAATCAAAGTCCATCGCGGCCTTGGTTCAGCTTGACTCTGCGATGCCTGTACCGAGATGACGAGACCGCAAGCAATGAAGAGCCAGATGAGGAGGATTCGCTGTAAGAGGCTGAGCTCGTACTGTGGAAAATACGCTTCCAGCATCTTTCCTTTATTCTCTCCTACGATCCTCGGTCTGGGCCTTTGTCTTATTTTCGAGTCAAGTGACTGATTGTCTCAAAACTCAAAACTGTCCTTTACGGAAGAAGCGTTTGGACACGTTGTATCTAGTTTCTTTTTTGGTGTGATCCCGGCTGAAAAAGGTGCTGAGGATTGAGGCGGCGTGGTTTGCGTGGGTGGTATTCACTAAATTGGGGTGACTTTGGTGTGGTGGGATCCAGGCAAGACAAAGACTTGAACTTCTAGAATCTGGGGAAGACAAACGTGAATCCGCGGCTGTATGCAAAGCACAGAGAACAGTACCGAACGGGTAGAAGTGAAGAATCGATAGAGTATCCAAGTAATCAATCCGTACAATCAGCTTTTATTTAATTGACCTTTCCACTCCAAGGCCATTCAAACCGAGGCCAAGCAATGGGGCAGTCGCCGTCATTTTACCCGGTTGTGCGGTCCGAGTATTCCAGGTACTGAAAGCTACTGAAAGCCAAGGGTCCCCGCCATGAGAGGGAGGATTCGCCAAGTTGCGGGAAAATGCAGGGATGCTCGATCTCAGATGGATGGGACGCGGCGTTCTGCTAGGAACTAAATGTGATGCATGCTCTGAACAAAGTATCACAAACATCATTTGAATCGAGCAATGGGAGAAATTAGGTATAATTCGTAAAAGCGGAGTCGCGTTCATGTATATACATATAGTACAGGATTATCATACTCGTCGTCAAGAGTACTCCGCAGAACCGGCCATGATGTGCTCCCATGGCGCTGCACGCAATGCCGTACTCCAGATTACTCAATAAAAAGAAATTCCATTCCCAGAATAGAAGCGCCAACTCCATATATGATGCATTGTACAAAATTCATCCCGCCGCAATTTAGGACGATCTGGCCCTTCTGCGAGCGTCAAGCTTCTCTTGTTCACGGACGTCACCTCCGGATGCCTTCCACCATGTATCGGTTCCCCATCGGAGCATTCGCTCGCAGGCTTGGGTCGGGGTCATTGCCGGGCGGACATCGAGATAGAAGACGGGCTCGCCAGTCTCCTCGGGTGCACCAGAGTAGTAGTCGATGATGTAGCGGACTTCCTTCTTCTCGCCGTTGATGTCACGAGAGACATACCAGTCGTGGCGATCAAATGGAGGCTCGGTACTATAAAGATTTGTTAGCGTTTAGACAAATCCAGCAAGAGCCCAGTCACGACTTACCCAAACATGGCAGGATACAACCAGCCCATGACTTGAATCATGGCGGCCTTGGGAGTCATCTCCTGTGGCCGACCCTGGAATCTCACCAGACTTGGTGCAAGCTCGTCAATCTCCTTCTCATAGCCATACTTTCTGGCCATCTTGTCAAAGTTGTGCTCTCCGGCCGAACACAGTTGGTAGCCCTTCTTCAGACCGCCAGCAAAGCGCTTTTCCCACTCCATAATCTCGGCCCAGGCACCTTCGTTGAGGAAGTTGTGTACACTGACCATGCTCTCCACAGCCGTGACATCCGTATCCGTGTATCCCTTGCGGAGGAGAGCGTTGTACATTTGCTGTGGAGATGGGTACTCCCAAGTACCGGCTCCGTCACCTCGGGGAATGGTGGACTCCTCGCGGTCGGTGGGCAGAGCAAATGTCTGCTGAGGTGCCTTTTCCTGGGACAAATCGCTAAACATCCAGTTGAGGGGGTTCAGTTTCGATAGTGTGGAAGGCTCCTCTGCGGGCTTAGATGCCGCGTGAGGAACGGGGCATGCTGATGCGAGAGGTGCGGCGGGTTTATCGTGTTTGACGGGGCAAGCAGCCGGAGGAGCAGGCACGGCGTCGTGCTTGACAGGACATGCTGCTGGAGGTGCCATGGCTTCGGCAGTCTTCTTGTGCATCGGGCATTGTGGCTGTTGCCTTGTTAGACGTGTACAGGTGGACGATGGAACGGCATCTTGCGGCTTACCGGTGGTGATTGTCCATCAACAGGGAACGGGTGTGGTGCAGCAGCAGGCTTAACAGAAGCCTGGCTAGCAGGAGAGTCTGCCCAGAACCAACCCATGTCGAGTGATATTATCGGTTGCTGGTTCGCGATATGTCTTGTATATTTCGTGCTTCTGTACGCGTGTTGCGCAGGCTACAGAATGCTGTTGTCGGTGCAAAAAGGCTGAGGCTGTCGCAGAGAAAATTGGCGATAGCTGACAATGGTTTGCGCAATCGATCTGCAGATAAGAGAGGTCCCGTCAACTTTTTGCCTGTAGAAATTGCCCCGGCCAAAGACGGAGCCCAAAACTTCTGATCAGCAAGGTTTGCAAAGGTCCCGATTGGTGCGCTGGCAGGCACTAAGCTGCCAATCGTTAGCGCCCTCCTTTCAACGCCGCGCCGGCCGATCCAGGGATACGGGAAGCGGATTTGACAAGTGCTGTACGTCACTATTCCTCAGGTCGTCAATTGCGAGCCACATGTGCAGAGCAGCACCTTTACAACCGCTAGCTTTGAGCTTGTCGCGAACCCGCCCAACCTACAATCACGAGCCGCCAAAACAATCCCCTTCGAATGCTGCAACAATGATCCGTCGCTTCTCCTGGCGACACCCATATTCGTAATACGATGAGGACAGTCTGCCTCCTGGGCCGGCTGTGTGCTCGTCGAGGTGCATCTCAAGCTCGCCCGAGTATACCGAGGCTCGTCAATCCAGGCCTCGCTAGATGGCAATCGACTTTTAGACATGGCGGCCGCTCACAATGGCAGAATCCCCCGCCCTCCAAGTTCGTCCTCTATGCGACTGCCCAAGGTGTCGCGCTTGGCACGGCTGCTTTTATCAAGCTCTCTGAAAAGGACGAAACGGACGAAAAGACTGATTTGACTTCCGAAGAGCGCATGCTGCAGGTATCACGGGAAGAGATCCGCAAGTCAAAGGACGAGACGAGTGGTTTCTTCACGCGTTGCCGTAACAATATCACATACTACGCCGACGTATACTTCTGGGAGCCGATATGTACAGGCGTCCGATTCTTACACCTAGTCGTCATCTTTGTGCCAGTAATACTTACGGTTCCTGCCATATGGATCGGCAGTCGCCAGCCAGATCGCGATAATGAGAGGGCCGGAACGATCTGGTGGTACGGTTTTCTTGTGCAGGCAATGGAATGGGCAGGTCCGGCTTTCATCAAGGTAAATTGTGGCAGCTTCAGGCAATACCCAGGAGATCATGACAGCCTGCTGACACTATTCGTAGCTTGGCCAATGGGCTGCCTCGAGAACTGACATTTTCCCGACTGAAATGTGCGATATCATGTCCAAGTTACACTCCAACGCACCGGCCCACTCGATACATGCTACCAAGAAGACACTAGAAGCTGCCTTTGACGGACGGCCGTTTGAAGACATTTTTGAAGAGTTTGACGAGAAGCCATTGGGCGTCGGAGCTATAGCCCAGGTCTACAGGGCAA